TGATGATGATGATGATGATGATGATGATGATGATGATGATGATGATGATGATGATGATGATGATGATGATGATGCACCAGCAGAAAAATAAATGTCAGTTTCTGACACTTGGCTGAATTCTCTTCTACTGTAGATGATTTCTCTTTTCTCTCTTTGTTCTCCTCCCTTATGTTTATTCTCCATTTTTGCTCTTCTTATTTTTAWTATTTGTTTTCTTCTTCCTCTTCTTCATCAAACTTTTCTTCTTCTTTCTTTGTTGCTTGTTGGTAAACAACGGACTGGTGCATTATRGCCATCTACTGGTACTGACCGCAACTACACAACTTTTTAAAAAAAATCCTRGCTGCCTGTGCTGGCCCAGTGATGCACCGGCCCACCYGGAAAAGTCCCGGTACTCCCAATGGCCACTCCGCCCCTGCTTGAAGCAACAGTCCTCTGCTTCCTAAAGTGGCCAGCCTAGGAAAAGGAAGCAAGGTTTCACGAGCCACTTTAGGGACCACTAACTGCTTAAGCTGGCCATGTTGGTGGGATAAAATGCCATCTTGCAGAACATCCTGCTCTTTACTTGTGTCAGATTCTACAACAGATTCCTGCACTTTAACCCTCAGCAGCATGGCAGACACAGTTGGATTCCCTGCTGCATTTGTCTGATGTTCAGAAGGTTTGTAAACCCTAAAGGAACATCTGGAGCAGCTTCAACTCATGTCTTCCTAACAGTGTGTTGAAAATGTTCACACCTTCTTTGACTGCATGTTTTCTGAGCTTTTTGTCTCCAGCTCAGACTCAAAGAAGGGTAAAGCACTGACTCTTCAGGCCTTGTCACATCATTACAGCTCTGCATTCACTTAACAAATCATAGATAACTGGCAGATCCTCTCCACAACTACAGGATAGAGCAGGTCATCAGCTACCCCAACCTTTAACAGATAGGAAGCCCCTGAACCTGAACAAACACATCAGCAGTGGGTGTGGTCCTTCATCACCACAAACCAGTATTGTTTCAGGACATGTATGGTCAGTTCATACTGTATTTCTTCTYCACCAGTCTGTGTACCGCCAGCATGAAGCAATCACACTCACACACCGATGGGATACCTCAGAGGTTCAGTAACTTGCCCAGGGACACTTCAACATGTGACAGAAAAGCAGGGAATTGAACAGCCAACTCTTGCATTAGAGCAGNTGGATTTGAGAGAAAAATCATGGAAAGAAGTTGGATCACTTAAGTCCATAACAGGCTAGCATGTTTTACTTAGTATTGATCACATATTTGCAAACAAAGTGATTTCTGTTGTGGGTATAAAAAACACACACACAAACAAAAAATTTTCTATGTTTGGCCACATTTTCGAAGAGCCACTGCTGAGGGACCAAAGAGCCACAGTTTTCAGACCCCTGGTCTGGAGGAAATAGGGCAGGTGCTCAAGCACCACCTGATGTCTATCTGTGGACGTCTCTGCTTGACAACATTAAAAAAGAAACAATGTAATTTGTGATGCATACAAAATAAAAAAGTTCATATAGAAACAACGAAGAAACAAAACTTATTAAAATATATTTGGGCTTTTTATTCAATGTTTTCACTCTTGGTCACATTTCCATTGCATTTTTCTATCATTGTTCAGCTCAATTCAATAAAATAAAATAAAACAAAAACATTTTTCAAGTCTATATATTAAGCACAAAGAGTGATGAGAAAAATTCCAGGAGAGCAAACCAGTAAGACATCAAACACAACACCTGTTATTGCTAGCAAAGATGATACAACCAATACTGTTTGCTTATGGAATAAAATGTGCACATAAAATCTAGTTTAAAACTGCTGCAAATGTTCATTAACACATCAAAGCTAGCTTTATTAGTGCTGGTACAACTTGGTAAAGTGACATGAGGTATGAGGGCAGAACACCAGCTCTCAGGTGTAAAACAAACATCAGTAAAACTTCAGGTGAATCACGTTGAGCTGTGAAGCATTGGGTTCTGTTGAGGTGGGTTAGGCAGGACAGGAAACACAATTAAGATGTGCGTTTGTTTCAGTGTTACGTAGAGATGGTCGTTTAGTTGATTACAGCAGAAGAGCACATTTTGTTGATCCCACACGCATTGGACCCTCTGAATAAGTAGTAGTAACCCTGTAAGAGGAAAAAGCAGATAGTAACATAATGATCAAACTTTTATTCATTTTGGCTCCTGGTTGCACCAAGAAATTCTGTCTAAAAGATTTATTAACGTAAACTGGTAGCCCTACCCGAATCCAAGTCCCACACCTACTGACGTCAAGTCAAGTCAAATTTTATTTATATAGCACATTTACAACAACCTCAGTTGACCAAAGTGCTTCACAGCAATCACATCACATCAGCGCAAACACAACTTTCGCACTGCTTGAACAGGGACTTAAAGGCACAGTGTGTAGGATTTGTTGTTTTCAGCGACATCTAGTGGTTGAATCATCCTCCCTGGTCCTCCCCCCACCCCCACCCCCCGCTTCCAAACGCAAAGGAGTTGCTACGGTGTCTCTCAGGTGTCAAAAACCTTTGATAATTCCAACCGTGATGTCTACCAGAGGCTTCAGGG